TGCATGCTATTGCTATTTATTGTGGATTAACCTGTCAAGGGCAAGCACAAAAAAATTCTGCATCAAATTCAGGAAATCATAGCTTTCCTGAATTTTCTAGATTGTTGGCACGGTGGTGAGTGCTGTTGCTCCACAGTAAGAAGGTCCTGGGTGCAAGTCCACAGTCTGGCTAGTTTGCATTGGTTTCTCTCTGGGTGTTCTGGTTTCCTCCCACAGTTAAAAGTCATGCAGTTAACTGGTGATTCTAAATTACCCGTGAATGTAAGTGTAAATGGTTGTTTGTTTCTGTGTGATAGACTGGTGAGCTGTCCAGGGTGCACCCTGCCTCGTAACCTATCACTTCAGGGTTATTTCCCAGTCCCCCTGCAACCAGGATAAAGATGGGAGGATGGTAGTTGTTGTAGACCCATTCAATGTTTATGGTAACCAGGATCTAGACTTTGTTGAACATTATGTAATATGAAGACAACATGTAGTATTTAAGTGACCAAGTAGTATTGGGGTAAAAGTTATTGAATAGTGTTGAAATAAAATGAAGGATTAAAATGTTCCAAGAGCTCAACATACTTCATCTGAACATGTTTCAATCGCGTTTTATGAACTCAACATGCACAGGTTTACTGAATATGAAAAAGTTGTGCTGATTTAACTCAGTTGTTTAAGTTTCTGCCAAAGCAAACAATTTGTGTGCAACCAGTGTCCACTACTGAATCAAGTAAATCCAACATGGCCTTTTTTTCAGTGTACCTGTGAAATCGAAGGAAATATGTTTTGGACAGTGTTCAGAATATAGAGATAAATTAATGCCAGGATGTAGCCGACGGCATGAGCTGAAAACCGAAGCGGCCTAGCAGAACTACAGACTGTAAATAAAAGATGGACACGGCTTTGGGGTCTTAAAAAGAGAAAACTTCTTCTCTAAACACTAAGAGACAATAGATATATTTCAACTGTCAGAGTTTTATGTTGGTTTTGTGAGTAATATTGCACATGTTCGGGCACATTAACGTTTCTGTTGCGTTTCGATGACACTCATAAAGTGTCATTATCATTGGTTAAAGCCTGCATCGAGTGTTTGTCGTATTGCTGAGCTATTAGCATGCACGAGTAGAAGGCTAGCTTCTTATGTGTGAAACTGGCTTCCATTCGTTATCATCAGTTTATTTCAATTTAAGAACATCTCGCAAGTTTCTTGTATTGAAGCAGGTGTAAATGTCACTTTTTTTAGACTTGTATCCAATTTTCTCGACAAGGTCATGAAGAGGAAGTGGAATCGCTTGTCTAGATCAGCTCTGGTGAAGCACACGTAGCCTCTTTCTTCTTTTTGATAAGGCTCGTACTTATTCTGCCCTAGTTGTTCTGCACTAGGTACTGGGAGCTTCCCATGATGCACTGCCTCTTCCTCACTCTCTGTGTTTATATACTCCACTTTGCATTTAATCATTAGTTCTCTTCCACAGCGT